TTTGTAAGTTTAATAATATTTTGCATTTTCCTTAATTTCTAGCTATTTTCCATAATAATCTTCCCATCGATATACATTAAGCATTTGGATTATACACTTGAGTTTTAACTCTTCCTCAATTACTTTCTTTGAGGAAATATTGTCGTTTTCAATTACCCGATATGATGATGTATTGCACCGGTGTGAGAATGCACAAACAACATCTTCATCCTCTTCAAAGTTAGTCTCGTAACGACTACTAGTTTGTGGTATTTACCTATGATTGACTTCATGTTTGATTATAACAAACAAATTATTTCTATCTCTAATAATTGAATTCGAGTCTTCATAGCTATTGTTGTAAAGTTGACCAATTGGAGACAAAAAGATTGCTATTAAAAGACTTAAAATTGACGATCAATAAAAATCGAGTTAGAGGCCGTGCACTCACGTCAAATCACTTAAAGAAAAGAACTTCAATAGTCAAATATCGAAGATATTAGACTTAGATGTTTTGGATTCATATGAAAATGTAAAATGCTTTAATCTTTGGTAATGAATAAATAAAATGAATTTTTATACACGAGAAAATTACCTCATAAAGACATTTGCATACAAATTATTTTTTTAACTTGATATTTAACCTTTTAAAAATGTCAATTACCTTGGAAAATAACGTGAAAAATCATTCAAAAGCCTACGGTATTCAAAGCAATCAAGAAAGAAAAATCCAGGAAAATTTGTCCAAGTAGATGTCCAGTTCATCCAACAGTCACTTTTTTTTTTATCCATTTTGAATTTTGACGCACATCGGTTAGTTTTGTTATCCTATTCAAGATGCAAACATTCGAATGAGTTGTTCGGTTAGTTAGAAATTTTGGCATTTTGATTGTTATAAGTACTATTTCACTTTGCATTCATCATAACACTTTTAAGAGCATTTAAGTGGTATACTCTTGAGCTAAATTATATTATACATCTTATTTATTTTTATCAAATCACTTACTTTGAAAAGCTTTTGATTGAATTAGCATTTGAAAATTATTCTTCTAATCAAAGTTTTTTTTCACCTAACACTTGAGCTTAGTCCATTGCTATCTATTAAAGTGTTAGCATATTTTTCTTTTTGTACTTAATTTTGATTATATCATTTATTAAAAGAGAGGTTTCAAATTGTAAATGATCTGTGGGTCATTTTGAAGTCCTAGAAAGCTCAATATTGTATAGGGAATGGTGCTCCTTGTTTATAAGTCACCGAAGCATTGTAAGGGATTTAGATTATACCGTATGTTAATCATATTTAGTGAAAAGGCCTTGCTCATAATGGAGAGCTTGGTAACGGATGATATAAATCATTAGTTGGGATCGAACCTCCACAATTATATCATTTACACACTCTCTTCCTTTTACATATTGCTTTCACACGTGTATTTTTATTTGATAGACTTACTCATTCTCAACTTGCTTAAATCTGGATTAATTTTCGAAAAAAATTTAAAAACTAACTCACTCCCTTTTGGTTATCTATTCTTGGGCTTTCATCTGGGTATCTTGCTTTGAACCGGTACTCTAACTCTAGTTGACAATATACATTTAAGATCGTCTTTGCGAAACGTCCATCATCCAATGAGGTCCCTCAAATAAAAAGTATATATATTTCGCTAAGTATTACTGTTCTACTATTTGGTCCTTTCCTTTGTTTTGATTAGGGCTGAACAACGAAACCGCCAAACCGAACCGAAACCCTTTTTTTGAAACCGTTGGTTTGGATCCACGTGGATCCGTCAACACTTTGGTTTTGAACCGAACCGAACCGCTTTGAAGTGGTTTGGTTTAGGTTTGAATTTTTGCAAACCGTTTCAAACCGCCAAACCGCTAAAAAAAAAATCATTTTTAATTTAAATTTTATTCAACCCAAGTAAAACCAAATACATCCCAATTTTATTCAACCCAAGTAAAATCAAATACATCCCAGCCCAACACTTTCATTTTCTTTGGTAAAATCGAAAACTGGGCTCTTCACTTATCTAGCCCAAAGAGAAAAACTGAATAAAAGATTTGCCCAGCCCAAAACCAATTACTGTTGGTGTCGAAATTGAAAGTGAAACCATGAAATTCCCTAATTCACTCTTTCCCGGCTTCTGGCTTCTCAATCTCCCTCTGCTGCCGTGCTACGCGCTCTCGCCTCTCAGTATCGAATTTGCTGGGCAGCCTAACTAAAGAGTTTATAACCTCTATAAATATGGTCATTAGTCTCCCTGAATCTGCTATAAATCTGCTCGTCAGGAGTTTGTAACGGCTTCTCAATCTCCCTCTCTGCTCTGCGCTTCTCAATCTTCCTCTCTGCTCTGCGCTTTCTGCTCTCGAATCGAGTCCCTAAGTAAGGAGTTTATAACCACTATAATCTACTCGTCAGTCGTCCCTGAACGTATGTGCTTCCAGCCTCTCGTCTCGTCTATAATCGCTTCCGGCCTCGTCTTGTAAGTGCAGTCAGTATATACTTTTATGCGAAACAAATTGTGTGGGCAATGTGTTTGACTTAATGACATTGAGAAGAGTCATTTATTATGTATGGTTTGAATGTGACTTGAATGTATGGTAATGGTATGGAGGCACCCACATTGGCTCGATGGAAATATAGAACAGGCAAAAACATTTTGCTTGACTGCATATAGAGCTAAAATAGAATTTCTGAAATTATCCATTTGTTATTTGGGAACCATGATAATATTGCTCATCTTCTAGATGTATAATGTAACTTCTAGGTTATTCACTTTATCAAGCAATATCATATTAGAATTTTGGTAAATTTCACATTACGACAAATCTTTTGATTTACTGCTTCATGCAATTGGCTTTCAGTTTACATATTGCACCTGTTCTGTCAGAATGAATATGCTACCCTGTAGAGTTGTATACTCTTTTTTTAGTGATAAAACAGAGATTATTATAGAAGACGGTCAAGGTATTGAAAATGATTTTACACTTGAATTCGAGTAGGTACAAATAGAAGTATTCAGCTGGCTCCCTGCAGCTATTCCTCATGTCCTTAGTACCCGTTTGTCTCAACAGGGGTTTGGTTAAAAGAACACCTTGTTGGTCTACTATACTGCTTAATATTATATATAACTGAAATGTGTGTATTAAAGAATCTTCTCTGCCAGATGGTTATTGGAACCATGAGAACCTTGCTTAGGGAGGCAAGACTCTGGCCCAAAATAAGTTTAGCCAAAACATGCAAAATGTCTAGTTGAACTTGAATTCCAGCTCATTGTGTTTATCTTTGTTTGTTTATTCAGTTACTCTTGTGGTAAAAAAAAATAAATAAATAAAAATAAAAAACACTATATTCAAGCCTTTTTGGTATTTCATAATTGATTAGGAGTTTCTTTACAAAATGTTGCAAGTGGGGGGCCTACCTTGAAATCTTTTGTTGTTCATATTCTTTTGTATATTAATTTGACGTCATGTTGAATAATATGATTTTTTTTCGTATGTAGATAATCGGATATGGATTCGACTTTAGAAGAGCAAAGTAATCATGGGACCGAAGATAAAATTCCAGTAAAGAGTGAAAATGTGAATTTGCAACAAAGTGTGAAGGGTAAGAAGGGACATAAAAGGTCCGATGTGTGCGCTCATTTTGATATAAAGAATGATGGAACTGTAAAATGCATTTATTGTGGACAAGTGTATAAGCATCAATCTAAAGGTGGGACTAGTATATTGCGAAATCATATCGAGGATTTATGCAAAAAATATCCATATAGGTTTCAAGACAAAAGGCAAAAGACATTAAATTTCTATTGTAACTCTAGAAATGATGAGGTTTTAGAGAGTGTTAGTAGTGGTGGACAACTTGTCAAGTTTACTCAAAAAGGGGTGAGAGAACATATTACTAAGTACTTTATATTATCTGAGTTACCTTTTCGACACGTTGAAGATGAAGGTTTTCAGTGTTATACAAAGTATTTTTTTCCGACTTTTGATTTTCCTTCAAGGATGACAGTTGCTAGGGATATATATCGTTTGTTTCTCGATGAGAAGAAGAAATTGAGGAAAGAATTGAGCAAACATCGGGTTTGTTTGACTACTGATTGTTGGACATCTATACAAAATGTAAGTTACATGTGTTTGACTGCTCATTGGGTTGACGATCATTGCAGGCTTAAAAAACGAATCATAAGTTTCATCCAAGTCCCCAGCCATAAGGGTAATATGGTAGGAAAGGAATTGATATCTTGCCTTCAGGATTGGGAAATTAATAAGATTTTCTGTGTGACGGTTGATAATGCCTCATCTAATGACGTAGCAATAATGAAATTGAAGAGTTGTTTTCTAGAGAAGAAGAATGGTCTAGTTCTTGGGGGAGAAATGCTTCATATGAGGTGTTGTGCTCACATTCTCAATCTTATAGTTTGATATGGTTTAAAAGAAATTGGCAATGCTATTTCATCTATTCGCAATGCTGTACGGTATGCTAGATCTTCCCCAGCACGAGTAAAAAGATTTCGAGAGAGTTGCAAGGATGCAAATATTGAGTCTCGAGGTTTATTGTGTTTGGATGTATCAACTAGATGGAATTCCACCTACATGATGTTGCAGGCTGCAATAAAGTTTAAAAAAGCATTTGACGTTTTGGAAAGTGATGCAAATTATACAAAGTACTTTGATGAAGAAAGGTCTAATGGGAAAAATATAGATGGACCACCAACACATGTTGATTGGGACCAAGCAGAAGTATTTGTTGGATTCTTGAAGACTTTTTATGATATGACATTGAAAATTAGTGGTTCTTTATATGT